GGACGCTTCTCAATTCTGTAAAGGGACAGCGGCTCCGGAGCAAATCTGTAGAAAGGTTTATTTGACACGCTTACAAGAGAGCCGGTGGGGAAGACTGACAAGCCCTCTTCAGGGAACAGGTAAACAGGCACAACGAAATAGCAGTCAACTGTTTAACCCCTCGAGTGGTTTATTGCAAGCACTACAGGACCTAGACGACCCTGTTTGTGGGTGACTTGATGTGGTTCAGGCTGTCGTCCTGCCTGGCCGGGTTGAGTGAGACGAAGCAGACATTTTAGCATAAGCACATGCAGACAATTGAAGTGTAGTGGTTGTTTGACCTTGTCTTCGCAACATGGTCATATTGGTAGGAAGACTCATTGGAACGCACCTCGCACGGGGGTCCATTGTCTGCATGATCATTTCCTAAGTTGAACCGTGGACGTGGAAAATTCCCATACTTTAATCGAAGGTATGAAGACCAAGATGTTGTGGCCTTTTGTTTGGAGACTGTGACCACACAAAAGGTCACACCATCTTGGTCTTCGTACCTTCAATTGAAGTGTAGGTTGAGGAGAAGTGGATACGAATACGAAGTGGTCAGAGCCAAAGGATGCGGCAAATGTGTGCTAAGCCGAAAGACAATGCTCGCATCCAGACCGACAGGAAGCTCAAGGCTTTGTCTGAGACAATGAATGTGCAACACAATCCCAGCAATGGAAGATTGCTGCTTCAAATGGCATTCTGCAAGCTTGGCCGACCATGTCAAGAATGGGCAGAAAGGAGTGGTACCAATAGACTCCACTGCGGTCCAGTTAGCATGGGCCATGAAATGGCGAGCAGAGACAACGGAGAAAGCAAACGCCAAAACGAACGCAGTAGTATGGACACAACTGTGGAATTCTCTGCGAATAAAAGTTCGGTTTCGAGGAAGCTCTTGTTCCACAATTGCTGTAGCACACTTCCATTTCGAGTGGAAGTGTTGCGTGAAGAGATTCGAAGGTCGGTTCCACCAGAAGACGACGGCCGATTCCTCTTGCCCAGCTGACGGTTGGCTTTACTGTATGATTCATACTGACGCTGTTTCCGAGGCAATCTCCTTCGATTCCGGTGAAAAGGTGCCAAGTTTTTGTGTCCAGTGTCACATGACGGACATCATCAGAGTGAGGTAACATCGTCACAACAAAATTGAAGCTGACGAGTCAAGAAAACTCACCGGCAAATCCCTAAAAAGTGGTATATATACTTTACATCTGGCCTCTTTGATCAAGTATAAAGTGATTTGGTTAGTCAACTTCGATGCATGTGAGTGTGTCTGTCTCTCTATTTGTATGTGCATGCTTGTGTTTGCTTATGAACGAAACACACACACACACACGCATCGAAGTTGACATATGACCTTAACCAACCAAATCACTTTAAACTTGATCAAAGAGGCCAGATGTAGAGTAGAGATACCACTTTTTAAGGATTTGCAGGTGAGATTTCTTGACTCGTTAGCTTCAATTTTGTTGTGACGATGATACCCTCGATGCTCCGATGATGTTTGTCAC